TCTTGGCCGGGAGCGCTGCACCCATGACTCACAGTTCACCGCGGCTGCAATGGCTGAGTGATGTCCCTGGAGGGGCACAGGACTCTTGTCTTCACTCCGCCGTCCCCTTCTAGTCTCCTTTTGCTCAGTCGGAATCGTCCCACTCACCCCCTAATGCACGTGACACACCCTGGGTGGGGCGGGCGGGCCTCTTATCTCGCCTGGAAAGAATTTAATGGCTTAGAAACAACTGGAAGCGGAACTGAGGGGAACTACTGGGAAGCAACTAGGAAACACCGCAGCTGCCGCCTGCCCCACCCTTCTCCACTTCAGAGACCTCCAGCCCCCTCCCCTCTTTCCCTGGCCCTGTCTCCAATCCCTTGAGATCTAGCACCTCAATTCCTCAAACTTCCTTCTACTTAAATCCTGGCCACTAATGTAGAACCAGAACTCGCCTTCCTGTCTCTCACTGTCCTCCTGACCTTTCCCACTAGGGATTGGGAAATCCTTTTGTCTTAGTTTTTCCATTCTCCTGGCCCATCAGCTGACTCTATAGGATAAGGGGCAGCTAGGTCCCCAACTCTCCCTTACCAGTACTCTCTTCCCACCTGCTTATTATCCAATATCTCAGGCTCCTGTGCTCCTTCCCTCCTTTCTCACTCTTAGACTCCTTCTGCCTTTACCCCTCATTGCCAAATTCAGCTGGGAGTGTGACAGGAGGGGCAGAGGGAGGAATTAGGATGGGATCAGAACCCCCCAGTCTCTGACACATCCCTCATAGAAGCCCACCCCCTCCACACCCCATGGGTCCTAGAGTCCCTGATGAGCAAAGTGTCAAAGTTGGCCACAAAACCAAATACCAGGGATGCTGAGTCACATTTGGGAAGATGCCCCTACCCCTACCAGTCCTCCAACTGTGGGAAGAATGCCAAGAGGGTGAGGCCACATTGCCCCCAACCAGCCACACTTGGGAGAGACAGAGGGGAGACACAAGAGATACCCAAATTCTTTGCTTGCCCATTGTAAAGAGAACAGTCAAAATTTTCCAAGAATTGGAGTGGGTAGCTAGAGGGGTGGTGGTGGAAGGGAAGGGGAGGGAACTGGGAAGGAGGCTCTGGGAATGGTTTATGGGGGTTGCACCTGTCTTCTAGACCAGCTTTCCAGAGAAGGCAATGGATTCTGTATACTCCTTCCTGCTACAGAGACTCCCTTCCATGCCCATGGGGAAAGAGACTGAATCCTGTGGGGGATGGGGGATGGGAAAGGGACTGGAGAATTCCCAGAGGCCTCCAGCAGTGTCAGAAAATACAAGAGGGACCATGTATCCTCCGCCTCCCTAGGAGTGCAGTTCCCTTCTGTTCAGTTCAGTTCTTCATTTTCACAGCTGCCCTTTGAGCCAGCAAGAAATCAACTTTCTTGGTCATCACTCAATGGCTAAGTAGAGGGGAGGTTGTGTGTCTGAGTGTGAGTATGGTGTGTACTGTGTACACGTGCCTCTACAGATTCAGGCTTTATAGGTGGATGTAAGTATTTTATGCACAAGCATGTTTATATTTGTATTTGTGGATGAACACATGTGAATATCTCTATTTGTGTTACATATTTGTCTGTGCATGCACCATCATAGTTGGTATGTGGATGATTTGCACAGCTTTAGACACAGAATGACAGGTAGTTTAAGCCAGAACCCACCTGATACCCAAAGCTACACCTCTACCTGAGAAGGGCTGGGGCACAGAAAAGGGTGGCTGTCTACATTCAGATTTATCTGCCTTGGCTACCTGAGGTGAGGTGCCTCTCCTTGTGGAAACACTGTCTCTGGTGTCCAGTTCCCGTCTGTGTCTTGATGGCTGATGGGGGACTGTGGGGGCTTGTAGCCCTGAAAACTCATTTTTCTCGGACTCAGAGGCAGGCAGGAAATATGTAAATTGAGGGGGGGGGGTCAGTCCCTTGCCTCCTCAGCTGTGACACCTTCCCTTACTAGTTCATTTTTCCACTGCCCTACTCTGCCCTCCTCTCTCCAGTCCCTCTAGTCTAGAAGAGCTGGCACTTGCCAACATTACTCCTCAACTTTTACCTGAACTGAAGCTTGACCCACTCCTCTGTACTCCCTCATTCTCCAGAACCCTCCCTCCCTCCTTGCCTCTCAAACCCCTATCTCCTTTATGTCCCAGCCCTTGCCACAGTGAATCCCACAAACACGATGGAATAACCATTACCCAGATTAAGAAATAAGATTTCCCTGGGCTAGATTACCAGCACTGTTTTTTATATATATAGTATATGTTTTTTAAAAGTATCGGGGAGTGTAGCTTGGTGGTAAAGCATTTGCCTAGTATGCACCAAACCCTGGGTTCAGTCCCAGTACCATTAATTGATTAATTAATTCTCAGCACTCTATATTCTCCCACTATGTCCCATCTGGTCATTACCCGCACCATGAGCACCATATTCATGACTCAGAACACTATAGATTACCATCCTCTCTTCTTGAACTTCATTTAAATAGAATTATTTAGCATGTTCTCTTGTGTGTCTGGCTTCATTTGCTCAAGCTTTTAGTAAGATTCATCTATATTACTACATTTAGCTGTAGTTCCTTCTCATTGCTCATTTTATTCTACTGTAAGAATGAACCACAATTATTTAATCCATTCTGCTGATGTGAAGCATGTGGGTAGCTCCCAGTTTGAAACTATTCTGGGTAGTAGTGCTATGTTGGTTGTATTCCTAGGATTGGAATTGCAAGGTCATGGGGTTTACATATGTTCAGCTTTATTAAATCAAGTAAATTCAGCCAAACAGTTTTCTAAAGTGCTTATACCATCTGATCCTTCCAGGATCCATCCAACTCTGGTCTCTGACTGGTCTACCCTGGCTACTGCTTTCTAACTAATTTCTATTCCCAGACACTGTCCGTGGTCCTAGCCCTGACCTTGGTCCTATTCTTGACTTCAGCCTTAATGCTAGTCCTGAGCTTAAATTGAAATTTTCATTCATTCCTATAGTGAATAAATATTTATTGAGCACCTGTTATGTGCTTGGTGCAAGGATACAGCTGACAAGGTCGGGGGAACAGTTACTATGACTGCCCCATAGACCTTATGGTCTAATGGGCAGATTGAGAATAGGCAAGAAAGTAATAAAATAATCCCATCATATATCTATTTGTGTCTGATCACAAATTGTTATAAATGCTGCAAGTGGGAATTATATGGTACTGTGATATCACATGATGGGGGACCTGACTTGTTCAGAAAGGCTTTCATGAGGAAATGATATAGGGCTGAGACTTGAAGGATCTGGAAGCCAAGAGAGAAGGGAAGAGTAATCCACATAGAGGGAACAGTGTATATGAAGGTCTGGGATCAGGAAGAAGCACAAGGAATATGAGGGACCTAAAGAAGGCGAGTGGAACTGGAGTGGAAAGAAGAAGGGAGATGAGGTAGGAGAAGTCAACAGCGGCCAGGTGATGCAAGGCTGTTTATCATTGTTCTGAGATAATTTGGAGGGGAGACACTTAAGAGTTCCAAGGAAAATAGGGACATCTGGTTGCCTTTGCAGGGTTGTGGAAGATCAGCTAGAAGTCAATGGCCATTGTTAGGCAAGAGGTGGATACTAGCTTGGACTATAATGATGGTAAGAGGGAAAGAAAGAAATGATTAAAGAGATGTTTATAAGAAAATGTGGATAAGTATGATGAAATATGGTGGCATTGAATGAGCTATTGGGTTTCTGCTAATAGAACTGGATGAATAATAGAGCCCTGAGGTGCATTGGGAGGGAAGGGATATGGGAAAGACAATCATAAGTTCAGTTTCAGAGAAGATGCCAAGTGCTAAGAGCCACAGCCAAGTAATATGATGCATGGCATTTTTGGTTGAAAGGTGACGCCAGCAAGCCATTGAGATGATATGATTATGTTAAGATCTGCATTCTTATGGATATTAGATTCCTGCTGTCCACCTAGGCCTGCTCCTGGAGAGTTCCCATTGGTTGGGGAAGTGCGGTAGGAGGGAATTCCGGAGGAATTGCAGAGGCACTTTTGTCGTTAATCAGGTGATCATGTGTGCTTGGGTCTTTTCTGGCTCTTATTTTCTTCCATGTGACTATTCTTGCAACTTTATAATAAATCTTGGCACTTGATAATGTAAGTCCCAAGGAAGAGGCTTTTTTTTTTTTTTTAATGGGAGATATATGAACTTATTAAAAAAAACTGATGGGAAAGATCTAGTTGAGAATGAAGAAGGGAAAATAATCTATACCTTAAGGATTCTGAAAGACTACAGGAGCTGGGATCCAGGTGCTTGGTGAAGGACTGGCCCTAGATACTCATCTGCTAATTTCATTCAATGTCTATGTATTGGGTGGCACATTTACCAACACATTAGTTTGTTAGGGACAGGGACACAGCAGTGCTAGGACAGTCAAGATCCCTGTTCCAAAGGGGCACCCATTATAGTAGTGGGAAAAGACAAAAGAACAAGAAAACAAGGCAGCAGAAAATTCCATGAGGAACATAAACAGGCCATTGAGATGAAGACTACTGACCCAGCATAAGGAAGGACTCTCAGGGTCAATGACACATGAATTAAGATTTGAACTAGAAGTGGCCAGCTGGGGATGTAGCTCAGTGGTAAAAACAAAAACAAAATTAAACTGAGTGAAGAGCATCCTAGACAGAGGGAAGATAACAGTGCAAAGCCCTTAGGCTAGTGTAAACTTCGAGCACTTGTGACAAATAAAAGATCACTCTGCCTGTGAAGGGAGAACACAGTTTTTATAAAGGAGAACAAGGTAACCAAATGACATTACAAAGAGTGGTAGAGACCAGATAATGCCCAGGAAAGTATCTTTTGGGGTTGGGCTGAATGTGAATTTTCACAAATATGTGAGTTGGGTAGATTAGTTGTGAGTGGTGGGACTGCTGGTGTGTTGGGGAAGAGGGGGTGATGCATTTTGTCTCCTTCCTTTTGAAGCTGCTCTCATATTTGCCCTCTCTCCCTGCAGCCTCCTGAGCGATGCCAGCCCAATGTCCTTTAACCTCCAGTCTGACCTTCCTGGTACTGCTGGGCACAGCCAGCGCAGGCCCCTTCTCTCCACGGTCGAATGTCACACTCCCAGCTCCACGGCCCCCTCCCCAACCAGGGGGAGGAAGCCCCTCTTCTCAACTTTACGAGCATACTGTGGAAGGAGGGGAAAAGCAAGTGGTGTTCACCCATCGCATTAATCTGCCCCCCTCTGCTGGCTGTGGCTGTCCCCCAGGCACTGAGCCCCCTGTCCCTGCCTCAGAGGTGCAGGCCCTGAGAATCCGGCTAGAGATCTTGGAGGAGTTGGTGAAGGGGCTCAAGGAACAGTGCACTGGGGGATGTTGTCCTGCTGCTGCCCAGGCTGGCACAGGTGAGCTGGTCATCACAAGAGGAGGCACAGAAGAGAGGGTGGAGACGAGGGTTAGGGTTGGGTGCATCATTAGTCCATAAAGGATCTTGGATCTTGGTGTGAATTACAAAAAGGCACCCCTTCCTTGCTGTTAGAAGGGGTGGATGCAGCCCAGGGCACAACTTGGGGAGTGGAGCTGGGCTAGATGTCAACCCAAGCATTTGATAAGGTCATTAAGCAACTGGAAACTAAGTTGGCCTTATGAAATGAGGCTGGCCCTGCTGGAGGAGGGCACAGGAGCACTATGTAGGCTCAGTCTCTCTCCCTGCAGAGAGACTGAGGCCTGTCTCTCTCTCTCCCACTTTAGGCCAGACAGATGTTCGTAGCCTTTGCAGCCTTCATGGTGTGTTTGACCTGAGTCGTTGTGCCTGTTCCTGTGAGCCAGGGTGGGGTGGACCCACCTGCTCCGACCCCACAGAGTCTGGGATGTCCCCCTCCTCCCCTCCTGCAGAATCCGGGTTTTGTCCCGATGACTGCAACGATCAGGGTCGCTGCGTCCGAGGTCGCTGCGTGTGTTTCCCCGGCTACACCGGCCCAAGTTGTGGTTGGCCTTCTTGCCCAGGGGATTGCCAAGGCCGAGGGCGCTGTGTGCAAGGTGTGTGCGTCTGCAGGGCAGGCTTCTCAGGTCCCGACTGTGGCCAGCGCTCCTGCCCTCGGAGCTGCAGCCAGAGAGGACGCTGCGAGGACGGACGCTGTGTGTGCGACCCAGGTTACACTGGTGAGGACTGTGGTGTGAAAAGTTGCCCTCGCGGTTGCAGCCAGAGAGGACGTTGTGAGAACGGGCGCTGTGTGTGCAATCCTGGCTACTCTGGTGAGGACTGTGGGGTGAAAAGCTGCCCTCGAGGCTGCAGCCAGAGAGGGCGTTGTGAGGACGGACGCTGCGTCTGTGACCCTGGCTACACTGGAGAAGACTGCGGCGTGCGGAGCTGCCCTTGGGACTGTGGTGAGGGAGGGCGCTGCGTGGACGGCCGCTGTGTGTGCTGGCCCGGGTACGCAGGCGAGGACTGTAGCACCCGAACTTGTCCTCGCAACTGCCGGGGGCGTGGGCGCTGTGAGGATGGCGAATGCATCTGCGACGCAGGCTACAGCGGGGACGATTGCGGCGTGCGTAGCTGCCCTGGTGACTGCAACCAAAGGGGCCGCTGTGAGGACGGCCGCTGTGTGTGCTGGCCGGGTTATACCGGGCCTGACTGTAGCGCCCGTGCCTGCCCGCGCGACTGTAGAGGACGTGGGCGCTGTGAGAACGGTGTGTGTGTGTGCAACACGGGTTACAGCGGTGAGGATTGCGGTGTGCGCAGCTGTCCTGGGGACTGTCGTGGTCGTGGCCGCTGCGAGAGTGGGCGTTGCGTGTGCTGGCCCGGATACACGGGTCGGGACTGTGGCACGCGTGCCTGTCCTGGAGACTGTCGCGGGAGGGGGCGCTGCGTGGACGGCCGCTGTGTGTGCAACCCAGGCTTTACTGGCGAGGACTGTGGGAGCCGTCGGTGTCCTGGAGACTGCCGCGGACATGGCCGCTGCGAGGATGGCGTGTGTGTGTGCGATGCGGGTTACTCAGGCGAGGACTGCAGTACACGCAGCTGCCCTGGGGGCTGTCGAGGCCGCGGCCAGTGCCTAGATGGGCGCTGCGTGTGTGACGACGGCTACTCGGGTGAGGACTGCGGTGTAAGGCGGTGCCCACGAGACTGCAGCCAACACGGCGTGTGCCAGGACGGTGTATGCACCTGCTGGGAGGGTTATGCAGGCGAGGACTGCAGCATCCGCACCTGCCCCTCCAATTGCCACGGACGCGGCCGCTGTGAGGAAGGACGCTGTGTGTGTGACCCAGGCTACACCGGCCCCGTGTGTGCCACCCGCACCTGCCCAGCTGACTGCCGGGGTCGTGGGCGCTGTGTTCAAGGAGTGTGCATATGCCACACGGGCTATGGTGGTGAGGATTGTGGGCAGGAAGAGCCTCCCGCCAGCGCCTGCCCAGGGGGCTGCGGCCCCAGGGAACTGTGCCTCGCAGGTCAATGTGTATGCGTTGAGGGCTTCCGAGGCCCTGACTGTGCTATCCAGATATGCCCTGGGGACTGTCGTGGCCGTGGAGAGTGTCGCGAGGGTAGCTGCTTCTGCCAAGATGGCTATGCCGGGGAGGACTGTGGGGAAGGTGAGTGGGCAGTCTTCTCCAATATGTTTGGGGAAGGACTGGGATTCTAGGACCAAGAGCCATCCAGAAAACCTAAAGCCTTGGGTGCCCAAGACCTGGAGGGAGATGGTGTAGGTGTTAGAGGGGTGGGAGTCAGAGGAGCCAGAGTCCCGCAAGAAAAGCAGAACTATGGGGAGGCAGTCATCAGGTGAGACTGGGCTTCAGATCTCTGAGGAGCAGATTGGGGCTCCCTTTAACTGCTTGTAAAGAGATTCTGTGTTCCTGGAGATGGGAAGATGAGGGAGACCCAAGCCCTGTTCCAGCCTCTACCAGCTTTTCCCCACCTACAGAGAGCAGGGGAAGGTCAGATGGGCCTCTTGGTGTGGCCTTGAGTAAGAGGGGCTGTGGGGGTGGCTGCCTGGGGCTAATCAGCTTTTCCTACCCTGTTCTCCTGGGCAGAGGTGCCAGCCATTGAAAACATGAGGATGCACCTCCTGGAGGAGACAACAGTTCGGACAGAATGGACCCGGGCTCCTGGCTCTGTGGATGCCTATGAAATTCAGTTCATCCCCACGGTGAGAAGGGGGCCAAGCTCCAGGAGTGAGCTGACTGAGTGGCACTGGCAGTATGTGTGGCAAGGGAGGGGGTCCTCACCTCATGCAAAAAGTTCATGTAATGAGTGGTTAAGCCCAGATGGCTGGAATCCTGAAGCTGCTGTACAGGCCTTCTTATCCTGCCCCATACCAGGCCTGGTGGCCTCTGCGACATCTCCAGCAAGCATTGGTCTAGTGCTGTTGGAACACTTCTAGTGATAGTGAGCTCAGTACTTCCTGAGGCTATACAGTTGGCCATCAAGGCTAGTCAGTTCATTGTGTTGGTGAATCCAAATTTGCCCAAATTCTACCATCCATCCATTGACCCAGCTGAGCATGCACCAGCTGATGGAATATTTTTTGCTTTTTCTGTGTCATATACCACAGGCCTCCAGATATTTGGCAACATCAGCCATCAATTATATTTCATTCTCCCCAGGCAAAACCCTTCAGTTTCTTCACCCCTTCCCCCTAAGTCTTTGTTGTTTGGAATTCATTACATTCTTGTGCTTCCTGCATTTTGTGTGTTCCCCAAAAATGGCATCAGAGAGGAGCCCATTGGCTAACTCTGGATGCACCAGCACTTTTCTCAGAGTTGGCATATATTAACTTGTAGTCACAATACTGTCAGCAGTTTTGATCATAATTCTTTTAAGTGTCTTTTAATTATAAAAGTCATCTGGGCCAAGTGCATAAAATGTAGAAAATACAGATAAGCAAGGAAAAAAGAAAAAAGGGAGGAAGGCAGGAAGGAAGGAAAGAGAGAAGACAACATTCAACTATATACACTTTTTAGTCTAAATATAGGTCTTTGCCTTTGACTCTGTTCAATGTTATCTTTCTTGGTTTAGGCCAAGCTGTCTAGGCTGTTGCAATAATTTGAGTCTGTGGACTTGTTCTTTCACCTTCATGACGCCAGCACATTGCAAAGCATTCTTTCTCTGCCCGCCTCCAACTTGCCATTAAAACATTTGGGGAGCACAATAGGGGCAAAGCCTATGGCCTATTATTAGGGCCTTCCCTTTCTGTGAATTGAGCTTTTAGGATATGGCTGTTTCCCAGCTCTAAATCATCTGACATTTCTAGCATCCAACTCATGTTTTCCTGCATCATCCCCAAATGCCACAAGGGATGTGCCATGTCACCCTCATCTCCATCAGCTTAACCAGGACTCTGGAAAAATAAATAACTCTCTGGGCCTAAAGCCTGGTCAGACACTAGGACAGAAGGGATAGCTCAGAGATATTAGCTGTCATCCTTGCCCCCCTTTGCCTGGTCTCATTATGACCCCCAGGCTAGACCCCCACCATGTCCTATCTCTTCTCACTCTCAGGCCAAAGAAGAGGCAGAAATCCCTAGTTTGTGATACAACCAAGGTAGCTTGGGTTTTTTCTTATGTTTAAAAGAAAAATTTGTGATAAAAATAATTTAATCACGAGACAAGAACTTGGCAGCTAAAGAAAAACAAATAATTCTTGGCTGCTCCACACTAAAATAAGCACTGCTAACATTTTAAAGTGTTTCTCCCACTCTCTTCTTCTATGTGTACATTATTTACATAGCTCTAATCCAAAGAGGGTGGGACTTTTAAAAGGAATTTTCCTAAGAAACTTCAGAGAAAGAAGAATTAAAATAAACACTGGAGATAAGAGAAGCTTTCAGAGACCGTTGTCTCCTGCTCTGAATAAATACAGATTTATCCTTGGGTGTTGTCAGGGGGTGCAGCTTGCCAGCCAAAGCCCTAGGCTTTGCCCTTTACTCTGAGACAGGGTGGTGCTGGGTTGGCCTGCTCCAGGCGTGGTCCTGGTCTCAGTTCATCTACTCTGCTCTGGATATGGAACTCTGTCATATTGTGGATCCCTTGTGGGCCTGGGTGTGAAAGAAGCTCCTGTTAATTGGTCCCTAAACACCCCTCTTGGATTCCACACCAGCCTGTGCTCCCAGTCCTTTCTTTGTGTAGCTGACCTCTACACTTGAGTCTTCTGTTTTGGCCACTGCTCTCTGTCCATTTCTGTTGGCATGGGATATGTTCAGTAGCTCACTGTCCTCTGACCTCTGCCATTTTCCTTGAAGCCGGTCTCTACTTCATCTCCTCCCTCTTTCTGGAAGTACTTCTCTCTCAAAATCCAAACTCTGCTAGTTATTGGAATTATTTTCAGAACACAGAAGAAGAATGTCCCTTTTCTCCTTGCATATGTGGCATTGTTATTGTGACTCAGTGGGCCTCAAAGTGTATTCAGTGCTCCCTGGTCCTCAACATCAACATTACCTTGGGAACTTGTTAGAAACATGTGGTATATCAGACTCTACCCCAGCTCTCTACTCCAGAAAGTCTGCAAATGGATCTCAGTAACCTATGTTGTAACAGGTCCCCCAGGTGATTCTGATGGCCTCAAATCTGAGGATCATTACTTAAGAAATGCTTATTTTCCAAAATGTTGGCTGTTATGAAAGTGTGAGAGAAAGCATGGCATCCTAAGGGAGGTGATCCCTGCCTCAGAAAGAGGTTCAGGTATTCCTGGTCTGGGTGTATTCTGCAGCCTGGAAACAGACTAGGCCAAGTGTTGGCTTGAATACAAGAGTGCACACACAGAAGAGTTTTTGCATGGGTCTTGTCTGAAAAGGGAGGGTGAGAGACCAGTCAAGATAGAGTCCTCCCTTTGAGGGAGGTTGACATTAAGAATAAAGTTAAAAATTCACCAAGAACAATTGCTGAGGGAACCAAGCTTTACCAAGGGGCAGAGTTAGCTGCCAGAATCTGCCTCCAGCCAGCAAGATGGTGCTGGGACACATGGGTTAGGCTGACCGTGGACCTTTAAGGGGACTGTTCCCAAATCTATCTCAGGAGGAACCAAATGGTGTCTACAGAATATAGACAGGCTATTCCACAGAGTGAAGGAAAACTCTGGGGATAGGCTTGCCTTAATGAAAGAACCAGGCTTACTCAGGGAGCACCCAAGTGTGGGGTGGGGGGAGGGAGAGGAGAGAAAGAAAAAACAAAAGAGACAGAGACAAGAGAAAGTAGGGGTGAGAGTAATGGGCAAGTGGGTTCTGGGAAGGGTGAGACGTTACAGGTATTGAGTGAGGGCCAATCTAAGGTTTCCTAGCCTGGGATATCCGAGAGCAGCCTGAGTAGGACAGGAACAGAGATCATGTGTGTCCAGGAAAGGTTTTCAACCCAGAAAACTCTGACAAAGCTTTATTTCATCCTCCACAAGAAATCTCTACGTGGCCTTCTCATCTGGTTTTATACTTTGGTATTTACTATGTTGATTTCCCCACAAGTCTCTTGGTTTAGGAGAGTACCTTTAGAAATTTCCAATCCTACTTGGCTGAATGGAGGCATCCCCATCACGGCCAACATAGCTAAGCAGAACACAGTGTCCTCAGCAGCTGTCCTAGCTGGATAACCCAGTGAAATGCAGGGATGTTAGAATGCTCACAAATGTCCAGCTCTTCCAGCCTCCCCAGAGACTGGCACTCTGAAGACTCTGTCTAAAGCAGCAGCCCAAATTTCCTGTGAGGCCACCATATACAATCACACTACCTTAAATATACACTTAGAGAAGGGTTGTTTTCTCAAACTCATTTACTATACAAAGAGATTTGTGTGGAGATCTACATTTAGCTACTAGAATATGAGCTACCCAAGGACAGGAACTGTATTTTTGTGTCTCCATTACTGAGCATGATTTCAGGTTCAAAATCAGCAATGAAGAAACACTTGTGAGCCGGCTATGGTATCCATGCCTGTAATCCCAGCAGCTCAGGAGGCTGAGGCAGAAGGATCACAAATTCAAAGCCAGCCCCAGCAACTTAGTGAGGCCCTAAATCAATTTAGTGACACTCTGTCTCAAAAGTAAAAAATGGGCTGGGGATGTGGTTCTGTGATTATATGCTCCTGCTACCAAAAAAGAAAGAAAGAAAAACATTTCTAGAACTTTGAGCCCACAGGCCTTGTTGTAAAGGGGTCTAGAAGCAAGCTGAAGAGAAAAGTCCTAAAAAGAAATATCATGATACAGGCCACAACCAAATTACACAGCCAGGGCAGGCATCTGCTGGAGATTCAGGCTGAGTAGACACTTGAAGGAGGAAGTGAGACTCAAAGGGGATCGTTAGTCTACTTCATTTGTTCTGAAAGGAACAAGTTTAGGAGAAGCCTCCTCCTACTCAGGTAGTTGGGGTTGCCAGGGGAAAGCCAGCAGGATTGTCAGGTGGAATTCTGGTAGATGAACAAAACAAAGAGTGCCCAGGAAGAGCAAACCTGGGTTCACACTGCCTGGGCTCAAGTCCTTGCCACTATCTTGATTTGAGTGATAAGATACTTATCATTCTCAGTTTCCTCATCTGTAAAATGGGACCAATAGGACCTATCTCACAGAGCTGTTGCAAGAATTGAGTGAGTTTGGCTAGCATGGTGGCTTATGCCTATAATCCCAGCAATTTGGGAGCCCAAGGCAGGAGGATTGCAAGTTTGAGCTCAGCCTCAGCAACTTAGTAAGACCCTGAACAACTTAGTGAGACTCTGTTTCAAAATTGAAAATTATTTAAAAAGGCTAGAAATGTAGTTCAGTGGTAAAATGCCTCTGGGTTCAGTACCAAAACAACAACAACAAAAAAGAATTAAATGAGTTCATATTTGTAAATTGCCTAGAATAGCAGCTAGCAGGAAGTAAGGCTCTAGACATGTTTGCTGTTACTTGCCTGCTCCCAGCTTGTACAGGGCCAAGTTCCACACAGTCCCATGCCAGCACTGTTCAGAATTGGAAAAAGAAGAGATATAGGGGAATTGGGCAGTAGGGGCAAGAGTACCAGCCTCTGATCCACCTGGTACTCTCTCTCACAGACAGAGGGGGCGAGCCCCCCATTCACGGCGCGGGTGCCCAGTTCTGCCTCAGCCTATGACCAGAGAGGACTGGCCCCTGGTCAGGAGTACCAGGTCACTGTCCGTGCCCTTCGAGGGACCAGCTGGGGTCCTCCTGCTTCTAAGACCATCACCACCAGTGAGAGCTGGAACTGTGGGGGCAGGGTCCTGGGTGGAAGTCTGGGTTTGAGAGGGACAGCTGTAGGCCTGTCCTGTGGGAGGCAGAGGGATGGGGCGGGATGGGGGCTCGGGTCTTGGAAGGAAAGCTGATGACTGAAGAATCAGAATCCCACATGAGCCCTCCTCTCTCCAACTCAACTAGTGATCGATGGTCCCCAGGACCTCCGCGTAGTGGCTGTGACACCGACCACCCTGGAGCTCAGCTGGCTACGACCCCAGGCTGAGGTGGACCGATTTGTGGTCTCCTATGTCAGTGCCGGAAACCAGAGGGTACGGCTGGAAGTTCCACCCGAAGCGGATGGGACACTGCTTACCGACCTGATGCCAGGCGTGGAATATGTGGTGACTGTCACTGCAGAACGGGGTCGGGCAGTCAGCTACCCAGCTTCTGTCAGGGCCAACACAGGTATGGCCAGCCAGGGGTTAGGGAAGGGCCCTAATTTCCAAGACAGGGAGCCCAGGTCTAAGGTTCACAGTCTCCTCAGAATGCATTTGGCAGGGTGTGTGGCAATCCCAAAACACCTGTTGCTCTGTTCTGAAGTCACTGAGGACACAGTTGCTTAGAGTCCTATAGCAAGGCTGCAGGTTAGACTCTGGAAGGAACTACCCCATGGAAAGGAGATGCTCTCTGATCCACCCAGATAAGGAAGGTTCTTATCCTAACTTAGGTAACTGAAGCAGTGGTGCTGAAAGTCAGATCTTGTAGGAACTGGATTCAGGCAGATTATAAATCAGCAGTCCTGTTGACTTCAGGATTTTGGTCTCCAGGAGTTGGGTCTCTCGGCCATAATTTTCTACTAACCCTCAAAGTTTCTTAACAGATGCCTGGATCTTTCTTTTCTTTTCCTGTGACAGGGGGACGCTCACTTCGCTGTATTTCACATTCTCTTCTTACTCCCCTTTCTCTCCTTCAGATACAGGGCCCCGCCTGCTGGCTTCTCTTTTCTTTCTAGGGCACCAACAGTGGTGGGCTTGGAGGGTGAGGGGAACTGACTCATTGCTCTGGTTCTGTTTCCAGGTGGGGCTGGGACTCAGGGGAGAGGCCTCTGGCTCTGATGGGGACGGGAGGGGGAGGAGCCGCGGTGGAGTGGAGTGCAGGGTGCGGGGAGCTGCCACTGACCAGCTCTCCCCTACCCCTTTTTCGTCCCCGGCAGCACCAGGCCACTACAGTTACCCGGAGGTGCACCCCCCAGCCCCGCCCCCCAAGCCCCGCCCCCGTCCTGCCCCTGCCTCGCGGCCTCTGCGGCCAGCTCGGCCCTCGGGGCCAGCAGAGGAGGGCGAGGAGGAGTCCCGCCCGGGGCCCAACCTGCCTCAGCCCTCGCGGCGGGCGTGGGGCAACCTGACCACCGAACTGGGCCGCTTCCGCGGCACGGTGCAGGACCTGGAGCACCACCTGCGGGCTCACGGCTACCCACTTCGCGCCAACCAGACCTACACGTCCGTGGCGCGCCACATCCATGAATACCTGCAGCGGCGTCGGGCGGCCGCTGCCCCCGCCGGCTCCCCCGCCCCCCAGCCCCGTCGCCCCCACCCTACCGCCAGCCCCACCGCGGGCACCTGGAAGCGGGACTCCAACCAGGGCATCTACGGCCTCTCCCCTGAAGGCGTCGACCGGTTGGCCGCGCCTCGCCACCCCAAGCCTGAGGTGTTGGGCAGTTCTGCTGACGGTGCGCTCCTCGTGTCTCTTGATGGGCTCCGCGGCCAGTTCGAGCGCGTGGTGCTGCGCTGGCGGCCCCAGCTGCCTGCAGAGGGCCCCAGCGGGGAGCTGACGGTGCCGGGCACCACACGCACAGTCAGTCTACCCGACCTCAGGCCCGGCACCACCTACCACGTGGAGGTCCACGGGGTGCGGGCGGGGCAGACCTCCAAGTCCTACGCCTTCATCACAACCACAGGTAGCATGGGCTGGGGTGGCGGGACCACCCATCTCCTATCCCCAGCGCCACCTGCCTTGGAGCCTGCAGCCTCACTTCTATGACTGCCAATCCCCACCACCACACCCTTCTACTTTCTGGCCCTCCCTGGCCCAGGCACCAGGGGACCCCCCCTCACCCCTACAAAGCACACCCTCCAGTGTCCCTGGAAACCACCCTCACCCCAGAGCTCTGGTATCATCCTATGGCCTTTGGGGTTCCCTTGTTTGCATCTGGGTTCCCACCTAGACCAGGATTGCTGTCCTAGGTAATGAAAGGGGTATCTGGGATAATGGCTTGTACAGCCTATCCTGCTCTGAGTGGCATGGGTTGAAACCAGTGATTCTCTGATTTACTGTGGTGAGGGTGATGAAAGACTGTGGCCTGTGGTTATTTCCCACAACTTGGCCTTGACTATGAAGGGACATTTGAGAACTGCTTGAGGGTGTCCATGAAGCCATCAGGCAGCATGTGTATGTAGGGGTGAAACCACTGCTTATTAAGCTGTGTTTTCAGTCTTCCTGGCTCACTACACGCTTGTCTCTCCCACAGGAACCATGTCTGGGCTGGGGGAAAGGGTGCTCTATGGCTGCAGTGGGTGTGTGTGGAGGGGTAGGGATGGTACTCTTCTTCCCCCATAGGGCTCAGATGCCACTTGACCTGGACGTCTACCCCATGCTCTGTTTCCTCTCTTCTACTGCCCATTCTCTTCTTGCATCCTCCCTCCCTAACACCACAGTCCCCTCCTTTCTTCCAGGCTTCTCACTGCAGCACTAATGGAAGCCGGACCTCCACTCAGTGGGGAGAGGGAAGTGGGTGGGGAGGGACATAGAGGGCATGGAAGCCTTATGAGGAGTGGGATGGCAGGCTTTATCTATTTACTACCTGCCCTAAGCACAAGCCTGTCTGCTCAGGAAAATGGTAGATGGGGGTGCTTGAAAGACAGAAAAAAACTTTGGGAGGATGTGGGGGGGGGGACCAGGAATATAAAAGGGGAGGTTCCCCAGGAATATAAAAGGCTGAGAATTCCTTTCTGGTTCTCATGTTCCACTCTCCTGTTTTTCTTGCCCTGCTCTGCCCCTTCCCAGGGTCCTCACCCTCGGGCCTCTTGGGGGCTACTGATGAGCCTCCTCCCTCAGGCCCCTCGACGACCCAAGGGGCTGAGGCCCCTCTCCTGCAGCAGCGCCCCCAGGAGCTGGGAGAGTTGAGGGTGCTGGGCAGAGACAAGACAGGGCGCCTCCGTGTGACCTGGACTGCCCAGCCCGACACCTTTGCCCACTTCCAGCTGCGCCTGCAGGTGCCCGAGGGCCCGGGGGCACATGAAGAACTGCTGCCAGGGGACGTCCGCCAGGCTCTGATGCCCCCGCCCCCTCCTGGAGCCCCCTACAAGCTGTTACTTCATGGGATCCCCCCTGGGGGCAAGCCCTCTGTTCCCATCACCTACCAAGGCGTTATGGGTACTTCCTGAACTCTGCTCAGATCAATGTCCTGAGATTGGGGGAGAAACTGGGGAAGTCAGAACTTCAGAAATGAGATGGGGATTCTGGAGCCGGTGAAGGAAAGAGCTGATGTTGGGGGCTGGGTTGTAGAAGAAAAAAGGATTCTGGGTTCAGAGGGAAGACAGTTGGAGGGGATCTTAGAACAATGATGAGGGTGGTGGAGTGGGAGGAAAAAAGTCAGAGGGTGAGACAGGAATCCAAGGAGAAAGGCTGTAAGCTCCTGGCCACCACCTGCAACTTTCTTTGACCTGTGTCTGCCCCCTACTTTCTGGTTGTTCCTTGCCCTACCCTTCCCTATAGATCTCTCAAAGATCCCTCAGCCCATGATACTCCTCCCTGGGAGTCTGGCTTGCTGTGGACAGAACCCTATGGTTCCATCAGCTAGATTCTGCTGGGGTTAGAGGCTCCTTGAGGGCTGGAACTCCTCAGCCATCAGGACTTCAGAGATGGGGGATTTTTCAGGACCAGTGAAAGACAGGGCTGGGGTACCTGGCTCACATCCCTTTTGGTCCTCCCTATGGGACAAGGGTGGCTGACTTTCACCTCAACTCTAAGTCAAGCTGACCACTGGGAGAGGGATGGCAGGGGAGAGAGCAGCTCAGATGGGCCAGGGAGCCTTCACACTCTTCTGGAGCAACAGTGGGGTGGCTAAAAACTCAGGCAGAACCAAAGGAGAACTGAAACTCCCACCAAAATCCTGGTGTGCAGAGGAGCTAAGCTTTGTGAGAGGTGGGGAAGTTGTCACAAGGAAGGGAATAGAAATTGAGGGGGGAAATATTCCCTTTCCCAAGAGGGTTGGTCATAGAGGGCTGAGGGATAGGTAGATGGAGGTTTCCAAGGGACGCAGTGCTAGGATGGAGTAAAGCAGGCAGAGAAGAGGGAGGGAGAATGGGGATAAGGAAATGGTTTGAGTCCACCATGCTTGCTTTTGCCCCCACCATAACCCCAGACAGGGATGGAGAGAAGCCTAGGAAGTCCTTAGGTCTACCACGCCTGGGTGAGCTGACAGTGACCGACGTGACCTCTGACTCCCTGCTCCTGCGTTGGACAGTCCCTGAGGGGGAATTTGACTCCTTTGTGATCCAGTACAAAGACAGAGATGGGCCCCAGGTGATGCCAGTGGAGGGGCCTCAGCGCTCAGCCCCCATCACATCCCTGGAACCTGGCCGAAAGTACAAATTTGTCCTGTATGGGCTCGTCAACAAGAAGAGGCATGGTCCCTTAGTGGCCGAAGCCAAGATCTGTGAGTGAGAAGAAACACCCCATACCTGCCCACTGTACCATCATAAAAGAGGCCTTCTTCATGCTCTGGGAAGCTGCCTTGGGGCTCAGGAAGGCTTGCTACAGGCAGCAAGGCCTGAACTGCATCCCAAAGGGAAAGCAGTATGGGGCAGCGGGAGGGAGTGGTCCCTAGGAGAATCAATGTCACTGTTTCCTCTGGCTGGAGAACAAGACATGTGGGGAGTTCAAGGGCCTGGTCTACAGCTCTTTTGCTGTGCGAAGGGTGTGGACCTCATTTGAGGACCCCAGGGAACCTCTGGGCCGTTTAAAGTGATTAGGTGTTTATCTCACAAATAGTACTGTGACTGCTGTAGAGGCTGACTGGAGAGTGAGTCAGCTGGTGAGACATGGGGGCCTGGCTGGGATGATGGCAGTGGGGTGGATGTCGAAAGTGAAGGAAAGCAAAGAGGCCCAGGCAAACCCTGGGTTCCCAGATCAGTTCTGTTCCCTGAGGCAGGGAGCAGCAGCTGGGGAACAATGTAGCGTGGAACGCTTCCATAAACACCTTTTGAACATTTATTGAGTCAGATGCCTTCAAGATGTTCTAAGTGAATGATCATACTTACTGCTTAGAGCAGCCTGGCAAGGCATGCCACTTCATGGATGAGGAGAATCAAGCACAGGGAGGGGAGGTCACCCAAGTAGAAAATGGCCAGGGCCTCCAATTGCTGCCCTGGTGGGCCTAGAGAGCAGAGAGAAGGCCTGCTGAGGGGCCTGGGCATCAGTGTCTGAAGGCAGGAGCCAGAGGGAGGAGAGGTGAGCCAATGGAACTCTGGGGACAAAAACATTCCAAGCAGGAGCAGAGGAAGAGTATCCCATGGGGTAGCCTGAGGGGTGACTGTCAGGGATGGGCAGAACCAGGGAGGAGAGTGGTGTCCTGGATGCCAGGAAAGAGGGTGTGGTCAGTAGGTCCAGATTCTGAAAGAGTGATTCAGGGGCTACTGAATGGCAATTAGCAATGGTAAGGTCACACTGGCACCATGGAGCTGCCTGACAGAGGGGTGGAGCTGGGTTGGGACATGGTTGCAGTTAGTGTGGCTTTTGGAAATCTAGGCTGGGAATAGAAAGCAAAGAGGGAAGGTAGAGGTTAGAGAAAAATGCAGGCAGAATGTGGGGGTGAGGGACAAGAGCATGTTTAAATATTGAAGGCCACATTGGTAGGGAGTCAGGGGCTGGTTATACAGAGTGGGGATGGCAGGTGAGTTGAAGCCCCAAGGAGGAGGGTCCAGAGCACATAGTGCCACCCTCTGATACCAACAATTTCCCAAGGATCTATCCTTTTCTCTTCAAGGAGAAACCAGCTATGAGTTAGGCTTGGAAGCAGTGGAGGTTGCACTGGGGAAGTTTTCCTGGCTGTGGAGATAAGGGAAGGCCTGGCTGGGTGCCCCACTTTCTGAACCCCTTGGTTGTGACAAAGTCAGCACTGCATCCACAGGGATTTTGTGCCATTTAGATGATGGCACCCTTTTTTAAGTGAACAAACCTCCTCTGCAGGGTATTTAGCTCGGCAAGCAGAGTGATGGTTGGATTTCAGTGCCCTTGTACTCCCTAGGTCATGCACCTTTGTGCATTGAATAGCCTGCCCAATATCACACAACATTCCTATGTGGGAAATGGGTTCCCCCTTCTGCTGTGACCCACCTTCTCTCAACCTTCTCTTCCTAGTGCCTCAGAGTGATCCCAGTCCAGAAACCCTACCCCGTCTGGGAAAGCTATGGGTAACAGACCCTACTCCAGACTCACTGCACCTCTCCTGGACTGTCCCTGAGGGTCAGTTTGACTCCTTCATAGTCCACTATAAGGACAAGGATGGACGGCCCCAGGTGGTACCTGTGGAAGGACCTGAGCGATCAGTCATCATCTCCCCCTTGGACTCTGATCACAAGTACAGATTCACTCTCTTTGGGATTGCCGATAAGAAGCGGTATGGCCCCCTTATGGCTGATGGCACTACTGGTGAGTATTGCCACCAAAGCCCCCCACATGACCCCTCTCTCTCTCTGCACACTTACCGTCAGCTAGGAGCCAGCTGGGGCCTCCCAGAAAGGTGGCTGACTCCACCATTCTGGCCCTGCTCCCAGGCTGAGGGGCAGCCAGCCTCTCCCACACTGCTGGGCTTCATCCATTCTATTCAGCTACTCCCCAAGGCCCAGAAGGTGTGTCATACTCTGGCTCTACTAGACTTCACAGGAGTTCAGCTCTAATACTAATAGAATAGTGACACCTCCCCCCTCAAGTACTATGTTTAAACCCCAAACCCCAATCCAAGGCTTCCAACTCAGCATCTGGTTGAATCCTCTTGTTTACAGCCCCAAAGAGGCAAGAAGAGCCCCCTCACCCTGAGTCCCTTGAGCAGCCCCTTCTGGGGGAATTAATGGTGACTGGCGTGACCCCAGACTCCCTGCGCCTGTCTTGGACTGTGGCCCAGGGCCCCTTTGACTCCTTCGTGGTCCAGTACAAGGATGTGCAGGGGCAGCCTCAGGCAGTACCTGTCAGGGGAGATGAAAATGAAGTCACAGTCCCTGGCCTGGAGTCCAACCGGAAGTATAAGATGAACCTCTACGGGCTTCATGGCAGGCATCGTGTGGGGCCCGTGTCTATAGTAGCCAAGACGGGTGAGTCAGCTGCACAGGCCTCTCTCCCTGCTTACCCCCGAACTCTGAGTGGGACCTGGCCAGCTCCACCTTCTTTTTTTCAGCTCCTCTTTTGACAAAGCCTCTGCTGTCTTCCTTCCCCTCTGCTCTTCTGTCCTCCACATTCCAGAACTCCTCTTCCAGCCTCTAGCTCCTAATCTCTTTCTCAGCCTTATTTCTCCATCTCAGAGCAGGCCCCAATTTAACTCATTCCAAGTATTTCTACTCATCCCTCCACCCCAGGCTGCCTTTACCTGCGACCACTGTATTCTCGACTCTCTTTTTTTACTGTGGGATCCTTCTGGGCCTCAGCTAGAACCTAGTCACTTCTGTACTTGTGTCACTATTCAGTGCATTGTTGTTCTGTACAGAGGTGGCAGATCCAGGAGATAAGGAAATCATGTTTCCCTGGCCTCCTCCTGCATGGAGAGGACTCTTCCCAGCCCAACTCCCTGATTCCCAGCCATCTTGCAGGGGAGTAAAGGGCTCACTTTCAGCCCTGCACCCCAGCCTGTTCCTCCGCATCCCCAGCTCCTCTCTGTTGGATGCCATGATCACAGCCCAAGATGCCACTGCCAACAAGTGGTGTGGCAAAGTGGTTTGGAGCATGGACTCTGGAACCAACTGGTTCTGAACACCAGCTTTGCAACTTCCTACCAGGGGACTATGTACAAGTTACTTAACCTCTCTGAGCCCCAGCTTTCCTTTCTGTAAAATGGAGGTAATATGGTGACCACTACACAGAGTTGTTAGAAAATACAGTGAACATGCATTCAGTACCTGGAGTGGTGTCTGGCCCATGGAGACTGGGGCTGTTCCTCATTGCTCTTGCTCTTTCTAGTAACCTCTTTTTTCTCCTCTCCTCCCTGCCTTCCCATCCTTGCCTGGGTTCTAATTCTTGCCTGATTCCTGCTCAGTCTCCTTTCCCTTACATAGCACCCCTGAACCAAGGAGGGGTCACAGAAGGGCTGGTTTCCCTTTTGCCACAGTCTACCTAGTCCATGGAGCCCTGCAGAGACCTCCTTGGAGGGGACTGTGGGTGGGAATGTGATTTCAGAGCCAACCAAGGAAGGGCAGGTCCCTCTCCAGCCCCTGCCCATCTGAATCTTTCCCCTACTCTTGGCCAGAGCCCTACCTTAGCAGTTCAATCTAAGGGCTCAAGGGGAGAGAGGAGGAGGCCTGGAGAGGAAGCCTTACCAAGAACTCATTCCATGGTTTCATTTTGGTAAGAGGGATGGGGCTGCCAAAGCACCCTGTGAGTAGACAAGGTGGTAAAAATCCTCCCCATCCCTCTGTTTTCTGAGGTCAGTACTGTCAGGGATAGGATCTGGAAGGATCCTCAGAGGGGTCCTGTCTTTTCGAATCAGCTTCTTTCTGAACCACCAGCACACTCCCACCAGCAGACAGGCTGATCCTTCTCCATCCATGAGTGCCTGGGTAGCTAATACCAAACGCTACACAAGCCCCTATGCACCTTGGCTGGAGGAGCATATCTGTAGGCTGGATGTACTACATTGTTCCCATTGATGGCAAACCAAGTCACCCTTAATGCCTGTGTGCCCCTGTGTCTTTTCTCAGCCCCACGGGAGGTTGTAGATGAGATCCCCAGCCCTACAAAACCCAGCATGGAAGTCCTGGAAACACCTGAGCAGCCACGCCTTGGGGAGCTGACTGTGACAGACTCCACCCCTGACTCCCTGAGCCTCTCCTGGACAGTGCCCGAAGGACAGTTTGACCACTTTCTGGTCCAGTACAAGAATGGGGATGGACAGTCCAAGGTAGTGCGGGTGCCAGGGTATGAAGACGAGGTCACCATCTCAGGGCTGGAGCCAGATCACAAGTACAAGATGCACCTGTATGGCTTCCACAGTGGCCAACGTGTGGGCCCCATGTCTGCCACTGGGGTGACAAGTGAGTGATCTGGTGGGAAGTTGACCCTCTAATTCTTTGGTGATAATTGAACAGGACATGGTGGCAGGGGCTTAGTTGAGTAACCACACAGGTCTGCTTGTAGCTGAAACTGTGGTCCCCTGTGTGCTTCCCCTGGGGTTGACCTCTGTCTCCTCCTGGGAAGGGAGGCACCAAAGGGACCTGTGCTATGCTGGGGGCTTCCCCAGTTCCCTACAGCTGACCAGGAGCTTGGGCATGCTTGTCAGTTTTCAGCAGAGCAAGGCCTTGGAGCCCCAAGGATGACCTCAGGTCTGCCAGTGGGGACCACAGCTTCTCACTCCTTCCTTAAGACCTGGGCACATCTCTTAGAGAGCCTGCCTCACCCTCTCTCTCTTTCCTTCTCAGCTGCAGTGGAAGAAACCCCCAGCTCTATAGAGGTGGAGAACCCCAGCCCCACAGAACCCAGCACGGAGGCCCCAGAGCCCACCGAGGAGCCACTGCTGGGGGAGCTGATGGTGACAGGAACCTCCCCTGACTCCCTGAGCTTCTCCTGGACTGTGCCCCAAGGCCAGTTTGACTCCTTCACCATCCAGTATAAAGACAGGGATGGGCAGCCCCAGGTGGTGCGTGTTGGAGGAGAGGAGAGAGAGGCCACTGTGGGGGACCTGGAGCCTGGACGCAAGTACAAGATGCACCTATATGGGCTCCACCAGGGCCACCGTGTGGGCCCCGTGTCTACTCTGGGCGTGACTGGTAAGTGAGGAAGGGTCTGACTCAGTTCCCTCTCACAGCTGATCCTGACTTTCTGTAGCCAGTTGCTCTCATTCCAGTGAGGCCACGAGTTTCTGCCTCTTGGGAAGACCTAGTAAGAGCAGGTCATGGTGGGAATTGGGGCTACATCTATTGGGGCTACAACCAGTTTTTGTGACTGTCTACCAGTTTTGTTTCCTTTGTTTCTTTGTCTTAAAAAGCAGATAATACCTACTTCATGGAAATATTGTGAGGATTAAATGAGTTAACAAATATCAAGTATTAAGAATGGAGCTGCGGGGCTGGGGTTGTGGCTCAGCAGCAGAGCGCTCACCTAGCACGTGCGAGGCCCTGGGTTCAATCCTCAGCACCACATAAAAATAAATAAACAAAATAAAGGTATTTTTAAAAAAATGGGACAGGGTGTGGTGGTGCATGCCTGTGATCCCAGAGGCTCAGGAGGCTGAGGCAGGAGGATTACAAAGTCTAAAGCCAGCTTCAGCAACTTAACAAGGCCCTAAGCAATTTTTTGAGACCCTGTCTCAAATTAAAAATAAGAAGGGCTGGGGATATGGCTCAGTGGTTAAACACTTCCGGGTTCAATCTTCAGTGCCAAAAATAAAGAATGGGCCTGGCAGAACGTAAACATGGTGTTGGGTTTCTTGCTATGGTCATTAATTATCCCTACTCTGGGATCTGCTTTGTTCCCATGGCTGGGTCAGCTACTTAATTGGTAATAATGTGTGTCAGACAGTGGGCTATTCATTAGCGCCACTCAAAATTTTTCTTTTTTTGAAATATATTTTTAGTTATCGATGGACCTTTAATTAATTAATTTATATGTGGTGCTGAGAATCAAACCCAGTGCCTCACATATGCAAAGTGAGTGCTCTACCACTGAGCCACGACCCCAGCCCTCAAAACTTTCTTTAATGATCATCCAGCAAGTGACTTTACAGCAAAAAAGAATATTTCTCCCACCCTTTGTCTCAGGCCAATTATGGGGCCACATTGGCCAGCATAAGGACCTATCCTGGGCACTTTGTCTGCAGAGCCTCATCCAACAAGGCTGAGGATGCCTCTGGGACCCTTCTGCTGACCTGCCCAGCTTGGTCACAGTGAAGGATGTCTCTTTTTCCCTTTGATTACTGAAACATAGGCACAAATGTTTTAAAAACAGCTTTTGCTATAAGAGAAAATATTAAAAACTTAAAAGACAGAGAAACAAATAGGTTTCTAGAACATGGTTTCTGTACTTGCACAAAGTTCAACTTCATAATTACTTGGATTATTTAGTTTCCAGAGCCTTCTACTCCCAAATTCTTTTCTTTGCCTCTGAAGAGGAAGAACCTCCTCATCAATTTACCCTCCTCATCACCTGATGTAGTGAAATAGAGGATTGTGCCATGCCCAGAGCCTGCTGCCAAGGTCTCTCCTGGGGTGACTGTTGGCCTGTCCCTCTGTCCCAGGTAGCCACACTAGGCTTTGTGTGGCCTTGTCCTTGGTCTGTGGGGTAAGGGTGAGCCCTTTCAGGTAGTGACTAAAGTGGTGCAATAGAGGAAGATTGAGTTTTGAAAAATCTGATAAACCCATTTCCATTCTTGGCTTTCCCATTCTTGGCTTGATCTTATGAAATTTACCTCCTCTCCTGGAACCTCAGCTTCCTCATCTTCAAGATGGAGAAACATGGTCCACCTTGTTGTAAGTGTGAGGGATGCTGATTTCTCAGCTCATTTGACTTTTTCTCAGACCCTTCTATAGAAAGATCACTGTATGTCCGTGTTCTAATGCTAGAATTTTTTTTCTTTTCTGGAATTGGGGATTGAACCCAGGAGATAGGGTTTCACCAAGTTGCTTAAAACCTCTCTTAAGTTGCTGAGACTGGCTGTGAACTTGTGATCCTCCTGCTTCAGCCTCCTAAAGCTGCTAGGATTACAGGTATGCGCCATGGCGCCCAGCAGATGCTAGATATTTTAAAACATGTACTTTACATGTTTGTATAAAATAGAAGTGGCCCTTTAAAAAGAGAATGGGACAGAATGTTTACCATCAGGGCAGCAAGGAGCTGAAGCAGCTGGAGCCTGCTGAGTAGGCTGAGGGCTGTGCCTGGCACACAGCATGTGCTGTACCGTTGCCAGGAGAAGCACTGCATGGAGCTAGTTAGAAACACTTCTAATCTGGCAAAAGACTATCCTTGATGCAGCGCGGAGACTGTCATATACATGAATAGTTATAATGTCACCTTTTCCAGTTAAGCCGAATTATTAACAATCAGGCTTGATGATGAGGGTCAATTTCTTCCCTGATGGAAAGAAGTACAGAGAAGGCAGAAACAAGCAGGAAACGGATTTTACAGGAACCAATAAGGTCAAAAGGCAAGTGAAACGAAAGAAAATGCCAGGCCTGGTAACTGTACAAGGAAGATGTTTAATATATGCTGATTGCTCTGGTCCCCTCACCCCCTTCAGCTACCTCTGTTCCTGCCCTTCTCACCCACACTCACTTTTGTCTGCCTGAAGCCTGGGTCCTGGTCCATTTTAAGCAGATTTCACTTGTCTGGAGTGTAGTCTTATCCTCCCATGGAAGTCAGAGAAACAGGCTCTTGGGAGTCCCACCCAGCCAGCCACTCTCTCCACCAGTTTGCCTCTTGGGACCACCTTCCAGTTTGGTCACTAATGAAATACCTCTCTGCCAGACTCGGCTTTCTCTGGAGTACTGGGGATAGGCAGGTTCTGAACTCAGTCTTTCTATCCCAGACCAGCACACCACTCGTGTATTTAACAAGCATTTGCTGGGGGACCCTCTGTGTGTTGGGCACTGGGACACAGCAGTGTGAACAATGCAAAACTGCTGCCTGTGGAGCTCACAGTCTAGAAGAGGAGAACAGGAAACCACTTGGACAAATAATGTCAGTGGTGCCATTTGTTATGGGGACAAAATCTGTGGGGGAAAGCAAAGCCAGTAGGTAAAGGTGGTAAGGACCTTGCTACACAGTATCTAAGGAAGGATCTGAAGGAGGGGAGAGAATGCCACATTGATCTTTGGGAAAATGTGTTCCAGACAGAGGGAAAAACAAATGCAGAGACTGGCAGGTGGCAAGAGGCCCCAAATGTCTGAACCAGCAGGGAGCTCAGCATGATTTGGATAGAGTCAGGGGAAGGCAGGCAGCAGGGAACTACATGAGACATGAACACATAGGTAGTTGGGAGCCATTTTAAGAAGTTGGCTTTTACTTTAAGTAAGCAGGAAGCCACTGTGAGATGGTCTCTAATGTAGTAACAGGACCCCTCTGGCTGTAGATCCAGCAGATCAAAGGCGGTTAGGGCTGAAGGAAAGAGGTGATGAGGAGACTGTCGTGATGACCCAGTAAGAGCCCATGGTGCTTGGAGATGATGGTGGTGGAGGTAAGGAGGAGCCAGATCCTTAAGAAAGTGAAAACAGGACTTACCCTTGGGACAATGTGGGAGGTAAGAAAGAACATGGGGATGACACCATAGATTTTGACCAGAGCAGCTAGAAGAACAAGGTTGTTGTTTGACTGAGGTGGGAAGGCTGCAGAGGGCACAGGTGTCAGAGGAAGCTCAGGAACTTGGTTTTGACTTGTTGCATTTGAGACCAACGATATATCCAAGGAAGATGTTGAATAGACATGACTCTGGGGGATAGAGGAAGTATCTGACAGGATATAAATTTTGTCACTGACCTACTGATGGGATTTTAGCCATTTTTCCAATCTTGATGACAATTGCTCCCCCTCCCCCAGCAAGCACAATCTCAGACATCTGGCAGGGACTTAGTGAAGGATAGTTGGCCAGAGAGATGTTGCTAATCAATGCAGTTTTACATCAAAACTACCCCATGGGTGCGCAAAAGCAACAGAAAGATCCTTTCCTAACAGTCCCCTGCCAACTCTATCCCAGCCCCATAACCAGAAGAACCAACCCCTGAAACTACCAAAACCCCCTGGAACCATGCCTTGGGGGAATTAACAGTGACAGATGTGGCCCCCAATTCCTCTCCTGGACTGTCCCTGAAGGCCAGTTTTACTCCTTTATGGTTCAATACAAGGACAGGGATGGGCAACCCCAGAAGGTCCTTGTGGCTGCAGACCAGCTTAAGGTCACCATCCCCAACCTAGAGCCTACAGGAAAATACAAGATGAACTACTGTGGGTTACATGGCAAGGAACACATGGCCCCCCTATCTCTGTGATAGCTGTGATGGGTGAGTAAGTGGGAGTGAGGCAGTTCTCATTCCTATTATCCAGAGCTGCCCCCTAAGACCCTTCTCCTAGCCACCATCCCTCACTGAGGAGTTAGGCCCCTCAAGCTGTGCCTCAGTGACTCTGTAGGTCCCTTTCCAGTCTCCCAGACATCTTAGTCTGTTCTCCGACCCCTTAGCCTCTCCCTGGAGCTAGAACTTTCCCACCCTTCAGTGCCTTCCCCATCTCCAGCTCTCACCAGGCCAGAATGATGTCATCCTTCCATTTGGCCTAAATCCAGTCTCTCTCTCTCTCTTTTCCACCCTCTCTGATTGTCCACAGCTGTTTCCTCCCCATCTATTTTACAACCCTGTGACTTGGATGCGGCTGCCACCTCCCCCCTCTTCCCCCACTTTTTTTTCCTTTCTTTTCTTTTTTTAATGTGTATGGTACTAAGGATAGAACCCAGGGCCTCACACATGGTAGGCAAATGCTCTACCACTGAGCTACATCCCCAGTCCAGCTCTTTTTATTTTTTGAGACAGAGTCTTGCTAAGTTGCTGAGGCTGACCTCCAAGTTGGGACCCTTCTGCTTTAGCTTCCCAAGTAGCTGGCATTACAGGAATCCTATCGCACCTGGCCTTCTTCTGCCTGTTTTTATTGGGGTTAAATGACACACATACCTGAATATCTTCTCAGAGATCCAGCCATCTGGCCTGAGTTGTATTTCCTGCTGATCCATGCTAGTCTCATCCTTCCACAGGCTGCCCTCTCCCTTGGACCCTCCTGCCCCTCATGGCTTCCTGGGCATAGGTTTGCCACAATTTTTGTGCCAAGGCACATGGTGAAATCCCTATCCCTTCTCTGAGCATTGTTTTAAAATCTAGAAAATAGAATGTATAGGATTAAAAAGGACACCAATTATATTGACATACAGCATGTCTTCTGTGTCTGCAGGTTTCACAACCAACTATGGATCTGAAGGCTTGTTGTTGTTTTTATACCAGGGACTGAACCCAGGGGCATGAACCCTTTTATTTTTCATTGTGAATTAGGGTCTCACTAAGTTGCTTAGGGGCTCACTAAATTACTAAGGCTGGTCTCAAACTTGGAATTCTCCAATCTCAGACTCCCCAGTCGCTGGTATTACAGGGGTATATCATCACATTCGGCACTAAGTATTTTTTTTAAATGTGCTTGTCCTGACTGGGTGCAGTGGGACAACTACATAAGTAGTGTGTTGGACTATATTTGGAGATGATGTTCATAGATTATATGTAAATACTACACCATTTTATATAAGGGACTTGAGCATCCTTGGTTTTTATTAGCTCTGGAGGGTCTTAGAAACAAACCTCTTTTGATTCTGTGGGATAAATATACAGTTACCAAAATATTTCTTAAAAACTCACATTTGTGATTTGGAAATACCTGGACTTCTTCATTAGTTCATTAAATAGCAAGTCTTTGTGGCATGTTTAGTAAACTACCACACTTAGAAGTAGCGATGAATGTAAGCAAAATTTTGAAGCTTCTGAAGTAGCTCTAAGGTGATGTGAAAGCATCTCAGCTTTCTCTTGATGGCAAACTCACAAGTATTGTTTTTTGTTTTTTTTTTAAGTATTGTTAATTCTACAATATTTGGCTTCCTATCTTGATCATTGAAGGGACTATAACTGTTCCCCATTTTAGTGCTTGATTCCCTTGGAACCAGCAGAGCCCAGGATTTCTCCCCTTTGTAGAACAGGCATGTTCTGTGTCTTTTGGATTCTAGATCCCTTCCCACCCACCCAGGCCACTGAAACCCCTGACCGCCCCCTGGAGCCACGCCTGGGAGAGCTGACAGTGACAGATGTGACCCCTGACTCCGTGGGCCTCTTGTGGACAGTTCCTGAAGGCAAATTTGACGCCTTCATGGTCCAGTATAAGGACAGGCATGGGCAACCCCAGGTGGTGCCAGTGACTGCAGACCAACGGGAGGTTACCATCCCTGGCCTGGAGCCCTCCCGCAAGTATAAGTTCCTGCTTTTTGGGATCCAGGATGGGAAACGACGCAGCCCAGTCTCTGTTGAGGCAAAAACAGGTGAGAGGGTCCCCCTTGCAGCCAGGCCTTGGGCCTCAGCCTTCCCGCCTGCTTCTGTTTGGTTTAAAAATTTATACTGCCTGCCCCAGTCCAAAGCAGACAAGGACCAGTTCTTGGGTCCAATTACCTCCTGCTGGTCTTTCCTCTCTTTTCAACATTTCTGTTTCTGTTGAATGAGGGAAGCCCCTTCCTGGAAGATGGACTATGGGAGACTGGAGCTGCTGGGAGAAGGGTAGTGGTCACCATCCTTCCTCCCTAGGCCTTGTGGGTTTCTCACATCTTGAGAGTTTCACCCTTTCCCTCCAACTCTCACTCCCCTCACCCATCTGGCCCCTCATCTGCCTCCCATAAAGGATTTTCTTCCTCCTCTGTCCTCCTGAAGCCTTGGGAACTGGGAACCAGAGGAGTCCAACCCAAATGTGCCCTATTTTGGGGTTCAGTCCAGCCCTTCTCTGCCCCTGGGGCTTCCTATTGCCAGAAACCTCTCGCAATAACAATGCCGTCAGCGTCTTTGCCGTCCAGGAAGGCAACAGGCCAGCTCCTTCCCAGGCCCCTGAATGGCTCCTTTGGCAGACATCAGATGCTTTCCCCATCTCAGTTCTCCCACTTTACCCTTCAATTCCTGCAATACCCCCAGGCACAGACAACCCCCCATTCCTCTAGGCCCTATGGGATTCTCAGTGCTCTTGAGTCCAGCTGGTGCAGAATAAGAAAGGGAACAGAGACGTTGCAAGGACCACCCCTGTCATAACATTTTTCTTCCCCCACTGCTGTCTGCCCCCATTAGGGAACCTGTGCCCCACTTGGATTTCCTCAGGGGCCAGTCAGATCACAAAGTGTGGGCTCCTGGGTCAAAGGAAATAGAGACCAAGTCCATGATAAGATGCCCCCTGCTGGGGAAATAGTCTCTCAGAGATGGGAAGAGTCTAGACAGCAGAAAGGGTAAGATGGAGAGGGGAACTAGGGAATTTCTTTCCAGGAATAACACAGGGCAGAAGACTCTTCCCACGTTGGTCTAGTAAAGAGAAGCTCAGGCCAGTTAGAGATGGTGGCAAGGATGGAGGCTGATGGAAATACTCTGAGGGAAGCACTGACTACTTGGGCAGTTCTGGGGTTTTCCAGCCATAGCCAGAGACAGTCAAAGAATCATTTCAGAAAAAAATAATCACAGGAACTTTTCCTCCCTGTTAGCTGCCCGAAGTGATGCCAGCCCAGGGGCTCTACCTCGCCTTGGGGAGCTATGGGTGACGGATACCACCCCAGAGTCACTGCGCCTCTCCTGGACAGTCCCCGAGGGCCACTTTGACTCTTTTGTGGTCCAGTACAAGAACAAGGATGGGCCCCAGGTGGTGCCTGTGGAGGGCCATGAGCGCTCAGCCACCATCACCTCTCTGGACGCTGGCCGCAAGTACAGATTCCTTCTCTATGGCCTCCTAGGCAAGAAGCGCCTTGGCCCCCTCACTGCTGATGCCACCACAGGTGAGGGGAATCCCCTGCAGAGCCTGATCCTTTAAGGCCCTGGGGCAGCAGGCAGTCACTTGGATAGCTGCCATTACCATTATTAGATCCCAACCACTTGGTCTCAGATCTAGCTCCCCTATGCCCTTGCATGAGCCTGTAGCACCAGTCCTTTACAAAGCCCTGTCTCCAGATCTCGCCATCCTTCCCTTTGAGGTCACCAGCTTTCCAGAAACACATTAGCCATTTCTTCTCCATTTCTCCATCTCAGTGAGCCCGAGTTCTGTGGACCATACTGGAATAAAACCCCAACTAGGGGAGGAACTGCAAGTGACTGGCGTGACCTCTGACTCTGTGGGCCTCTCATGGACAGTCCCTGAGGGGCAATTTGACTCCTTTGTGGTCCAGTACAAAGACAGGGATGGGCAGCCCCAGGTGGTGCCTGTGGACGGCAGCCTCAGGGAGGTCAATGTCTCAGGCCTGGACCCTGACCGCAGGTACAAGCTGCTGCTCTATGGGCTGCACAACAGCAAGCGTGTGGGTCCCCTTTCTGCCATTGCCATGACTGGTAAGTGTGTGGTGACCAGAACACCCTGTGTTTCTTTTCCTCCTGGCTCTCCTGGTCTCACTGAGCCATAAGGTCGCTCAGCTTTCTGTTTCCCTTCTTTTGGGGAAAGAATGCCTCAGTATTTAAAGGCATCATTAAATCATCACAATGGTACTGTGATTACACAGTATCATTGAGTTTTGGTGAATGTGTAAGTCACGAAACCATTGCCACAAGGGAAATATAAAGCATTGGCATCTACCCAAATTTCCTTGTACCCCTTTGCAGCCAACGACCTCACTCCCAACCCTTGGCATCCATTGATCTACTTTCTATCATTTTAGTTTTGCCTTTTTTGCATTTTGTTTTAACAGCATCATACAATATATGTTGTCTTGGGTTTGGATTCTCGTATTTGCATAAAGTTTTTGAAATTCAGCTACATGTATGAAAAGTTGACTCTTTCATTGCTGATCTCTTGCCCTTATCTCCTTCTTTCCCACCTCCTCTTGAGAGATTTGTTCAGTGGCAGACCAGTCACCCATCTCTCCCTGTCTCTCTGAACCAGCCCCTAGGGAAAAAATTGAAGGTGATATCCCCACCCCAAGCCCTCCGACAGTTGAGCCCCACCTGGGGGAACTAATGGTGGAGGAGGCCACTCCTCACAGCCTGCATCTCTCCTGGATGGTGACCAATGGAGAATTCGACTCCTTTGAGGTCCAGTATGAAGATAGAGATGGTCAACTCCAAGTGGTCAGTACTGGGGGAGACCAGAGTGATGTTACCCTCACTGGTCTGGAATCAAATCACAGATATCTGGTGACCCTATATGGCTTCCATGATGGTCAGCGTGTGGATTCTGCCCACATAGAAGCCCTGACAGGTGAGTGAGAGGAACTCTGCCACTCTGCTCCCTTCCAAATGACTAGGGGGTCCAAAGGAGAGTAAAGGCCCTGCAAACATAGCCTCTCTTTCAAGCCTTCTCTCTCTTCATATTCAGTGCCTCAGGAGGAAGAGAATGAGCCATCAGAAGTACCCACCATGACCCCTGAGCCTCCACTCAGGCCACGCCTAGGGGAGCTGACTGTGACAGATGCCACCCCTGACTCCCTGAGCCTCTCCTGGACAGTCCCTGAAGGACAGTTTGACCACTTCCTGGTCCAGTACAAGAATGGGGATGGGCAGCCCAAGGTGGTGCGGGTGCCAGGGCGTGAGGACGAGGTCACCATCTCAGGGCTGGAGCCAGACCACAAGTACAAGATGCACCTGTATGGCTTCCATAGTGGCCAGCGCACAGGCCCCGTCTCTGTCATTGGGGTGACAAGTGAGTGGATACTGGGAGCCTCAGGGTGGGACCCAGTAGGAGGTTGACTCTAACTCTTGGGTAACAGCTGAGCAGGGAACAGTGGCAGAGGCTTGGTCAGTAACCACAGACTTGTTCTTGGCTGAGGCTATGGCCCCCTTTATGCCTTCCCTGGGGTTGACCTCTGTCTCCTTCTGGAAAGGGAAGGGCCATAGGAACTTGTGCTGTGCTGGGAGCTGCCCCCAGTTCCATCTAGCTGCCCTTGAGCTTGTTTAGGCATGCTTGTCAGCTGAGCAGGGCCTCTCAGCCCCAAGGATGAACTTGGGCTTGTCTAAACTGACCTCGGTACCCCCAGTGGTGGCTGTGGCTCCTCCCTTCTTCTCCCCAAGACCTGAGTACACTTCCCAGGGAACCTGCCTCACTCTCTCTCTTTCACCTTCTCAGCTGCAGTGGAGGAGTCCCCCAGCCCCACAGAACCCAGCACAGAGGCCCCAGAGCCCACTGAAGAGCCACTCCTTGGGGAGCTGACAGTGACAGGCTCCTCCCCTGACTCCCTGAGCCTCTCCTGGACTGTGCCCCAGGGCCACTTTGACTCCTTCACCATCCAATACAAGGACAGGGATGGGCGGCCCCAGGTGGTAAGAGTTGGAGGAGAGGAGAGAGAGGCCACTGTGGGGGACCTGGAGCCTGGACGCAAGTACAAGATGCACCTGTATGGACTCCAGCAGGGCCGCCGTGTGGGCCCCGTGTCTACTCTGGGAGTGACTGGTAAGTGAAGGTCAAGGGGTCTTTAGGTTGATCTCAGGGAAGTGGAGTCTCCAGTGTATCCTCTGCTAAAGACCCAGGTCCCCAGAGCCCCTAGGCCTCTAATCCCCCCACCCCATCCTGTAGTGCCTTAAGACAGGTGTGATCTGGGGGCAGGGAGAGCTAGTCAGACCTATCTGGGTGAGAGCCTTGGAGACTGAGGCCTCTAAGACAGTGATTCACAGCCAGTTTGTGGCTCTCTCCTTTCCCTCAGAGAAAATTCTAGAGAAATTTCTTTTTGTATGATTGGGACAAATTCCATGAAATATTAATTTATTCCTTTAACACATCATGATGAAGCAAAATTTCAATCATATATGCAATGAGAAAGAATAATATGATGACCACTGGTATATTTGTCACCCTGCTTCAATTAAATGTCAACTCCTGGCCAGTCTGGTTAATTTTTGCCCCGCCCCTTCCCACCCTCTCCTACTAGAATGTTCTTTATTAGTGATTTTTTTCACTATAAAATTTATGTGCCATAAAATTCACCTGTTTTAAGGGTGCAGCTTATCCATTTTGGTACATTTACCTAGTTTGCAACCATCACCACTGTCTATTTTCAAAACTTTTTCACCATCCCAAAAAGAAATTTTAACTTCAGATGCGTTCCTATCCCCATCCCTCCTTCCCCACTTATCTATATGACTCAGGAGATTTGCCTTTTCTAGAATTATACAAATATAATTATATAATTCATGTTTTTGGGGGTCTGACTTCTTTCACTGTGTCCCAGGGACAGTTTGACTTTCATTGAGCATGATGTTTTTGAGGTTTATTCACTGCAGTATTTTAAAACTAATCTTGGACACACTATATTTTTAATAAATATGTAAACATATCTTTCTTTTTAAAAAAGCTATTTTTATAGGCTGGTGCTATAGCTCAGTGGTTGAGTGGTAGCCTAGCATGTGCAAGGATCTGGGTTCAATCCCTGGCACAGCAAAAGGAAATAAACACACAAATAGGCTATTTTTAAAAAATATCCACAATGCAATTACCATACTTTTAAAAATCATAACAATCATTTCTTACTATGGTCAGTTATCCAGATCTCATAACTGTTGTTTTGCAATTTATTGCTAGAGCCAGGTCCAAATAAGGAAAATCATTGAAATCAAAAGAATTGGGTTGGGGCTGTGGCTCAGAGGTAGAGCGCTCACCTACCATGCGTGAGGCACTGGGTTCGATCCCCAGCACCACATAGAAACAAAATAAAGATATTGTGTCCACCTATAACTAAAAAATAAATATTAAAAAAAAGAAATCAAAAGAATTGGAATTTTGATTAGAATAGTCAAGAAAGGCCTCCAATAGGAGGTGATATTTGAGCAAAGATTTAAAGAAAGAATAGACATGAGCCATTCATACATCTGGAGAAAGTCTTCAGGAGAAGTGAACAGTCATGCAAAGGCCCTGATGTAGGAGGCTGCCTGGCAAGTTTGTGGACTGTAAGGAGACCACAGAAAGACTTTGGTGATCATAATCAGAAATAGATTCTAAGGCCAGAGCTAGTCCACCTTCTGACCTGGATCCAAGAAAGCTGGGACTTCAACACCTCCTTCCAGCAACAAGAAATATTCTGTTTATATCTCTAGCCCCTGAAGAGGAGCCTTCTGATGCCCCTCCTCTGAAGCCACGCTTGGAGGAGCTGACCGTGACAGATGCCACTTCCGACACCCTGAGCCTCTCCTGGACAGTCCCTGAGGGACAATTTGACCACTTCCTGCTCCAGTATAAGAATGGGGATGGGCAGCCCAAGGCTGTGCGGGTGCCAGGGCACAAAGATAGTGTAACCATTTCAGGCCTAGAGCCAGACCATAAATACAAGATGCACCTGTATGGCTTCCACGGTAACCAGCGCATGGGCCCTGTCTCTGCTGTCGGTTCAACTGGTGAGTGGATAGAAAGATATTGGGCCCTGCCCCAGGTTGGATCCAGTTTTCCTTTTACTGTTAGTATTTTTGTTTTGTTGTTGTTGTTTTGGTTTGATTTGGGGTATTTTTTTTTTTTTTTGTATGTGGGATTGAACCCAGGGGCACTTAGCCACTGATCCACATCACCATCCCTTCTTGAATTTTATTTAGAGACAGGGTCTCAGTAAGTTGCTGAGGGCCTTACTAAGTTGCTGAGACTGGTTTTGAACTTGTGATCCTACTGCCTCAGCCTTCTGAGTCACTGGGATTTCAAGCGTGTGCCACCACACCCGGTTGTTGTTGTTATTTTTATACTAGAGATGAACCTCAGGGAACCTTACTAATGGGCTAAAACCCTAGTCCATTTCATCTTTTTACTTAGAGAAAGGGTATTGCTAAGTTGCTTAGGGCCTCAGCCTCCTGAGTTGCTGGGATTTCAGGTATGTCTTACCATGCTCTGCTTGGGTGTTTTTATTTTACTCCCTGAGACTGAGCCTCCTGAGCTTCTAGGATTGGTTCCGCTCTTGTCTTCACTCCAAACCTTTGATGTTGCCTCAGCTCTCTTATCCTCTACACAGGGGTATTTTGGGTCCTTGAAGAGGCAAGATACCAGGGAAAGAACGGATTCAGGCACAGCCTGGGTTGACCTTAACCTCAGCCCATTCAACCTCAAAAGAATCACTCAGCCTCTCTGGGCTTTCCTCTCCTCTTCAAAGAAGGAATAGCCACACATCTTAAAGGGTGGGTGGGGTATGACTGGGCTCACACAGTGTGAAAGGTAACCACTTCCCCTTGAAGGTAATTCGTTCTTAAAGACTCCTTAGGACAGAGGCTAGAGTTGTGGCTCAGTGATAGAGTGCTGTCTAGCATATGTGAGGCACTGGGTTTGATCTTCAGCACCACATAAGAAAATAAACAAAAATAAGATAAGGTATGTGTCCATCTACAATTAAACAACTAAAAAATATTTTTTAAAAAACTCCTTAGGACAAACCTATTATCATCGATTTCAGTAGGAAAAATTATAGATGTTTCCTAAGCCCCCAAATTGATACCACTTATGCTGAACCAACAATGAATCCTGTACATTGTTTTACTATTTAATATTAGTCATGTGTGCAACTTAACAAGGCGTTTTCCTTTCACCAGTCACTCTGTAACATGGCCACTGATGCTTTTATTAGGCCTTATGTCGCTGCTACCCCCGAGGTATAAGATGCTTTCCCAAACAGAACAAATGAACATGGTAATTTTGTGATTCAATTCTCAAGGCAGATGAAACCCTATAAGAATAGAAAAGGTTAATAAAAACAAAGCACATGATTTCACAGAGGCCCAAAGAGCTGGTCTCAGTGGAGTGGAATCTTTGTCCTAAGTTAGCAGAACCCCTGTTAAGGTCTAGAAAATACCTGATTGCAAAAATGACCTCAGTCTCTCATCTCCTTACCCTCAGTGGTGAAATCAAAATTGGCTTCTAAAAATGCTTGGGAAAATATTGTAAACCAGAAGGGACATTAAAGGAAAATACTTGTAAAATAGGAGTCCCAATCCCAAGAGGATGTAGCTCCCAATATAACTTTCCTGTAATGTTGGGTTTTGTCATAAAATGCTGTATCTAACACACTAAACAGATGGGATTTGGCAACTCCTAAGGGACTGCATTGCAACTTTGCACAAGTCTGTGCTTTCTCCCTGGTAACTGAATATTCAAACCAGAGGACCTGTATAACCCTTCTAAGAGAAATCCTAAAATCCCTTGGCTAGAAGGAACCCTACCAAATATGTCCACCGATTTTTTTTCTCATGATCCAGACCCAGAAAAGGATGAAATACTTAGCGCAACTCTGACAGAACCACCAACCACAACCCCTGAGCCTTCTATCAAGCCACGCCTGGGGGAGCTGACCGTGACAGAGGCCACCCCTGACTCCCTGAGCCTCTCCTGGACAATCCCTGAAGGACAGTTTGACCACTTCCTGGTCCAGTACAAAAATGGGGACGGGCAGCCCAAGGTAGTGCGAGTGCCAGGGCATGAGGATGAGGTCACCATCTCAGGGCTGGAGCCAGA